CCTCCAGGGGGACCCCAAAGTAAGACCATACAGTCAACCCCTAGGACACAGTGACATGGGACACAGACACATGCACGTTACAACATGCTCTTCCCATCCTGGAATCTTGGCTTGGAGAAGTGAAAGACCCAAACACGAGGGTCAAAGCCAACACTGAGGCAGTCTGACAGCAGTACTTGGACAACAGCTATTCAGGCTTTGCCCATGAAACACGGAAGGGAATCCTGGCTGATGCAAGGATGTGCAATCTCTGAAGGGATTTCCTCCTAGAGCAGGAGTTTCAACACCAGACACACAAAGCTGTCCCTTGGGTAAGCAAGAGGAAGCAGCAGCAAGGGATGTGTGTCAGCAGCACCAAGCAGCCCAAATGATGCATATGAACACGCATGTATGCATGAGTGCACATCAGAGCCTAAACCCCAGCACCTCTCTCCCATACACGCTCAAGCTGAAAGCCAGAAAGGAGGCGAAGCATCAAGCACCTGAGCAGAAGCACAGAAAGGAGCCACCTCACCCTCTCCCCACCCTCCCAATTAGAAGCTGCGTTCTCTCATCAGCCAGGGCACAAAGCGATGCTCATCTCACTCTCGCTGTGGGAGGCATGGGGCTGTCAGCCTGGTTCCTCTGCTCCTTATCTCCCAGACACAGAGGTGAGCTCCAGGCTGGCAGGTAGGTGGGAGCTGGCCAGTTCTTCTCCCACCAGGATCAAAGCACAACAGAGGTTTCTAAGTGGCAACTTCATCCCTGCAGAGCACCGCTGCCCATCACTGCTGGAGAGAAGACAGGTTAGCAGTACAGGGTAAGCTCCTGAGCTGCTGCAGTGGCTCAAGGCCTTCGCTGGCTTTAAAAGAGGGAATAGGGATGGGAAAGGAGATGTTCTGGCTCTGGCACTGGTTTCACCCCTTGCCTCCATGTGCCTCAGTTCCATGCAGTGTCAGGGCTTCAGCAAGAACTCAAATACCATTATTTGCGGTGGCTGGTCAAGAAATGCCTGTTTAAAGCATAAACAGAACTGCTTTAATCCTGTTAAAGCATGAACAGTACTTTTGGGCACCAGCTCAAAGCTCTTGGGTTACCAATAGATCTCCAGTGCCTCTTCCTGAGGCTAGGTCACAGATATGTGTACCACCACACTCAGATGGCTTTGCACAGAGTAGCTGGGAACCCACACCCCCTTCTTGTGTCCCTGCTGCTTTGCTTCTAAGTACCTAATCGGCTTTTAATAGGACACTCTATAAATGTAAGTGTTCTAGGGACATAAAACTCTCTTGTTCATCCCGAGAGTAAGGCAAGGTTTTGTGCTGAGAGCTGGGAGATGGCTGCACTGGGAAGCAGCAGCTGGGAGATGGCTGCACTGGGAAGCAGCAGTAGTTCACAACAGCAGTGAGTGGCTTGATTTGTGCAGTTCTTAAAAGCACAAAAAAAGCACAAAACTTTTTAAAAGTTTGAGGGTTCTATTCTTTATTTCACTATTTGTTCTATTTCTCCCCCCCACCAGCTGGAAATCCACCCAAGCCTTTCACTGCTTTAGGAACACTTCAAGCAGTTATCACCTTAACAGATACAACCTTCCTCTGCCTCCTATTTCTCCCTTTTCTGCCCACTTTCATTCCGTGACTGCTTCCACCATACACATTCTGAGCATTCAACAGTTTTCATGTCAAAGCTATTATCCACCCTTCCCTGGCTATGGGGTTTGTTCTCTGTTCCAATATTTGCGCTCCCCAAAGGCTGAGCTTCACTGGGAATAGACACAAACCTCCTCTGAGCTTCATAATGACACATAAAAACCTTACCCAACTGTAAGCACTTTTGCAACGCCTTACCTGTGTTTCAAAGAGCTCCTAGCTGTTGCTGCCCTGCTTTAAACAGAAAACAAAGACCATCTATGTGACTTCCTTTGACCTGGCCTCTCCTCAGCTTTAAAACCCAAACAAACACAAGAGCAGTTTATGAATCACAATTTCTCTGAACATATTTAGTTGTTTTTCCAACCATTCCTGATGCAGACAAAAATCTGGGGCAGGCAGCAGGTACTGAGCAGCTCCTACCCCTTTCCTGAAGTTGCTAAGAAACCGCTTTGTGTGGAGCATCACATTTTCCTAGCTGGTCAGCTCCGAAGTGGAATTTTCTCTGTTCCCTGGCTTAAGCTCACCAGAGGTTCAGATGGGGTTTTCTTTGCCAAACCACAGCAGCAGCAGAGGGTACACAGGGCTCACAGTTATTCCCCAGAAAAGCAACTAAACATATACATTTTCCAAGAGGTCTTTATGATTTGGGGAGAAAGGGCTGTGGCCAGGCATGAGATGTTTCAGTCTCTCACGTACATGAGTCTGAACAAAATCAGTCAGGTCACACTTTATAGCTTCTGTCTGTGTACTTCTTTTTACCCCCAGCTGGAAATACTGAGTCCTACCTAAGGCATGAGCTGTCATGCCCCATCTGAAGTGTGTTCTCCCAATCCCCTCTCTTTGCTACAGCTATGCCATGCTGCCTGGGGCAGACATCTCAAGGAGGGGAGATGAGTGATGCTCCAGTACAGCCCGTGTGTCTCCATCTGTCCCAACCCACCCAACACTGGAGGTGGCAGCCCTGGGACGGATCCGATGCCCAATAAGTAGGAGGGAATGGCCCTGCTTGACCTTAGCAGATGGGAATTAAATGTGATATGGACAGGCAGCAGTGTTATACACTGAAAAGCATATGAGGTGGGGGAAGCAAGCACAAACACAAGCTGGGTGGAGAATGGATTGAGAGCAGCCCTGAGGAGGAGGACTTGGGGATATTGGTTGACGAGAAGCTCAACATGAGCTAGCAGTGTGCTCTTGCAGCCCAGAAACCAGCTATATCCTAGGCTGCATCAAAAGGAGCATGGCCAGTGGGTCAAGGGAAGGGATTTTTCCCCTCTGCTCTGGTGAGACCCCACTGGAGCATTGCATCCAGCTTGGGGGTCCCCAACATAAAAAGAGTGTAGATCTGTTGGAGTGAGTCCAGAAGAGGCCACAAAGATGCTGTGAGGGATGGAGCAGCTCCCCAGTGGAGACAGCTGGGTTTGTTCAGCCTGGAGAAGGCTCCAGGGAGACCTCAGAGCAGCTTCCAGAACCTAATAGGGCCAATAAGAGGGCAAATAGGCATAGAACAATGGGGCATGGCTTTAAACTGAAAGAGGGGAGACTGAGCTGAGCTCTTAGGCAGAAGCTCTTCCCTGTGAGGGTGCTGAGGCGCTGGCACAGGGTGCCCAGAGAAGCTGTGGCTGCCCCATCCCTGGAAGTGTTCAAGGCCAGGTTGGACACAGAGGCTTGGAGCAAGTTGCTCTAGTGGAAGTTGCCCCTGCCCATGGCAGGGTGTTGGAACTGGATGATCCCTAAGGTCCCCTCCAACCCAAACCATTCTATGATAAAGTCCAAGATTTTCAGATGGGGCTGTAAATGTACTGTCCTTTCTAATGGCCATGAAGCTTTCCCTCACTGCCCTTTTGGCTTTTACCATAGGGGTACCTTACGTTAAGTTTTAACATTTAAAGGAAAGTTTTAAAGTTATTATCTAGTGCTTCACTGATGGAAAAGGGGGATGATCCAAAGGGGAGATTCACAATCAAAATCTGGCCTTAAATCTCTAAGACAGATCAAGGCACTCACAGGAAGAAGTGAGTCTCCATGCTCTGTGATCTGGGAGCACTACCTGTCAGGATGATGGATGCATGGCTCTCACGAGCAGGCATGAACTCTGGGAAAGGGTTCCGAGTCTCAGGTTTAAAAGTGAGATGGTCGAGGAAGCAAGCTTTAAAATGAGGTACAGGATCAACGTAATTCATGGAAAGGGGAGAAACTATTAACCCATAAGCCAGAAAGCAAAGGAGGGTGTTGGGAAAAGTGAGGGAAGTGCATATATTAAAGATAACATTAAAAAAGAACAGAGGGAGAGAGGCTGAGGGCAGATGCATGGCTTAGGTGTAAGGAGGGTGCACAAAGACCTCTCTGTGTGCAGTCTTGAGTTTTATCTTTCCTTTAGGCTGGTGATTCTCTCCTCTATGTTAGGAAAACAGCTTTCTGCTCCTTAAAATCCAGAGGGTTTCCCACCTTTTGAAACCTCTTTAAAACTAGGGGTTTTAAAAGCTTTTCCCCTCTTTCCCACAGGAGTAGCAGTTCAGACAGCAGACAGTTAAGATTTGGTATAATTTGACCTATAAACCAATTAACCTCTGTGTCTCCCACATCAATGCCTGCACAAAGACTTTCCCTTGGGCAGGAGATACTGACTGTCTTTTAACAGAGAGACCTTCACCAAGACTCTGCAAGGAGAATTTACTACTCAGGCACTATCACACAGTCACACTGCCATGCTCAGGATCACCCCACCTTGATCACTTGGGGATCTCTTAGCACCTGAAATAGCGATGAACAGGGAAGTGAAGGGATTCACAGTGTGGACAGCCTCAGCCTGAGCTGGGACCTTCCTGCAAGCCTGTGGAGCTTCAAGCCCAAGATCCCTGCCCACCCTCACTTTTCACCATTGAAGTACAATAAGGTTTTCAATCAGGAGAGTTTTCTCAATCATGAAAACCCCATCAGCTTCCCACCTCCTCCCAGCTGCCATCTGGCTCCTTTGCAAACCAAGATGTGGGCCTGTAGCAACAAACTCATTCCCTCCTCCCCCAAGCACAGGTTTTTCTCCCACTCTCAGGTATCAGCATCCCTCACAGAAAAACGAATCAAAGCACATTACAGCACCAGAACTACCAAGGATTCACTTACAGAATCTTCCCCAAAGTTTTAGAGTGCTCAGTTGTTACCATCACCAGGAGCTTGCGAGCCCTATGCTTCTCTTCAAACAGCTTGTAAGCAAATGGACCCCTAACACCCTCCCTTGCCTTTATATCACCTATCAGTAATTGATACACCAGGTGATCTCCATTTCTTAATGTTGAGCAGCACTTTATTCCCTCCCTTGCTCTTCATTAAGCTGTCTTATTGTCACCTGCCTCCTCCTCTGTAGCAGCTATTGAAGGAATGTAAGAGACTTCCCTAAACTTTCCTGTTGCTGTTCTCTCCGGGCTTCCCGGTAAATCTGTTTCTGCTCCGACTGCAGTGGTATTGACTGCATTGCAGGCACACGCACACTTCACTCAGGTTCCTTAATTAGCTTCATCTTATTTTAGTTTATGTAAACCATGTTCTCTTTTTATTACATAAACTATTTCTTTCTCCCTCAACCACTTGTGGTGCTCTAGGCAGTTTGCTTCCAAACCAGAGGGCTAAATTTAATCCCCCACTCCCCATTCAGCTTTCTCCATTTGCAGTATTTTTTTTGTATTTTTTTTTCCTTTCTTTTCTTTTTTTGGGTAGGTTTGGGGTTTTTTTTTTTCCTTCTTTCCAAGAGGCTGGGCTTCCTTTTCTGTCCATAAGCCCTCCTATTTCCCCCTGCCCCCTGGATGCCTGCCTACCTTTACTCTAAAATCCAGAGGAGGATCCAATACACTTAGTTTGCCAGCTCTTCAAGAGGTATCTAAGGAGGCTGACAGGAGTTTGATGGTCTCTCTTGCAGCCAGTGGCAGCTAACGTGGTCTGAAACCCTCTCTCTCTTTTTGCCATTCACACACAGTACTTACTCTTCAAGCCTGCTGCTGCTGCCACTGCCTGAAAGGACCTGAAATACCACACAGGGAATTCTGATTTCTTCTGGGGAACCAGGGAAAGAACAAAAAGAAAGGCAGGAAAACTCATCTGGAGATTGTGAAGAAGACATACAGTAACAGCAAGAAGTGGCAAGCTCTTTCCTTCTTGAATGCTGACAAAGACCTCGTTTCTCTGCCAGGTGTATGGGACTTAGATTCTGGAAGCACTGCACTGAACTGTTAAAGGTAAGGGGTTGCACTTTTCCCCCTCCTCTCCGTTTGGTATCTTTTGCCTCAACTTCCCTGTGCCTTTCCCCAGTGCTCTGAGGATGCAAGCTCTCAGCCAGTGGATTGGTTGTTTCCCTGGTGAGGGAAATGTGAGCAAAGTTGTAAACTGATTGAGTTCGCGCTTCTCCACGGAGTTTCCCTTCCGCAAGCAGCGTGTTGTGAGTAGGGAGCCTGTGCCTGGAGTGCCTCTGCAATGGTCCTCACCAGCAACCCACCCGTTACAGGGAGCAAACCTGTAGTAGGAGGCAACGACTGTGTGTCAAGTTTGTTAGTTGGCTTGGGGAAAGGAAGAAAGCCAGGCATAAGCTTGAGAGATTCCTATATCCAAACCCACGAGGTAGGAGAGCAGCGACAGCATTATCCAGGTTATCCCTCCCTAGAAGACCCCCCAACCCGCTGGTGTTTCTTTGTGATGGATTTCAGCTCCCACTCGAGCCCTGGTGATGTGTCTGATCCTGCTTCTGAGCACTGGGGAAGGAAGCGAATGATTTGTTGCGAGTGTCCTAAACGGCTGTGGGGTTTTTGATGGTTATTGCTTTGATCAGTGCCATTGCTTTGCTATAGGGTGATCTCTGAGCTAGAGGGATGTTAAGCTCTGTAGGGGCTGAGAAGTTCAAAAGAGAATGAAAAGAGCCTGGATGCTGCAGGGTCTGACCACGCTCCCCTCGCATGGGGATGGGGTTGGCAGAGTCCCCTGGGTTAGTTCCAGTTAGCTGCTTCAGGCGTTACTCAGTACCTGCCCTCTTTCCGAAGCCATTTGCAGATGAAGCATATTTTTAGCAGTGGTTTTCAGAGAGCTGAGCTTTTCTGCAGAAGTGGACACAGCAAAAAACGCTATGATTCTGGGGAATCTTTACCAGAAATTTCATTGTTTCATTAATCTACTACTTTTTAAGACTTTTCATTTAAACCTCGTTCCAAATAGCCCTCAACACGTAGCAGAAAGCAATGCATTCTAACCTTCCCCTTTTGAGCGGTTTGGCCAAAAAAACTTCAGTCTGTAAAGCTTTCCTAGCTTTCTAAAATAACTTTGCCAGATGTGGAAAGGGGGGGAACATCCCACAGCAGAACAGTTGGGAGAGCAGAATTTTTTTAGCATTCCTCACTACTTTGGTTTTCTTCTATAAGCTCAGGATGTTGGATGGGCAGAGGGGCTGAGGTTCAGGGGCTGAGTAGGGTGGGTTTTCAGATCCCATGTGCTTTTGGAAGCTGAACTACTTGTTTCTTTGCTTTGGTTGGTTGATGGTATATTCTCCTGCTGGTTTCAAGAGGCTGCATCCACCTGATAAGTTAAAGGGGAGATGTTGCCCCTTTCTGCCCATATTGCTGTCGGTACAGAAAGGGAAAGGCATCACCTCCCACCGTGGCTGGGTAAGAGGTGACGGCTGGAGATGTACCTGTGCTGGCTGAGGGCTCTCAGCAGCCTGAATGGTCTAGGGGAAGAAAAACTCCATCTGCTCCACTTGAAATGCTGTTTAATGTTTCCTATAATCGCCTCTGTGTACAGTAGCAGGGTTTGACAGCAGCACAAGGGCTGGAGGATGGATGGGCAAAGAGAACCAACAAGATAGGAAATTGAGGAGTGATAGAGACAGAGGGGAAAAAACTACTAAGGAAAAGAGCACATTAAATGAAGCTCCACAGACTTGGAGATGTCAGAGCAAACAGCAGCCCATCACTGTAAAATACTACTTAATTAGTGAGGAACACTAAGGGGTTTAGAGGAGAAGAGGATGAATGGTATCACTTAAAAGGCAGAAACGAATGAATGAATGTGTAAACGAAAAGAGAGACCAGATTGTCGTTCAATGCTCTGGTATCACCCAGGGATGCAGATGATAGTCAGGAACCCTGGGGACTCCAAAACCCGCTCCATTATTGGTATTTTCTCTCCTCTCCTCTCCCTGGGGAAAACGTAAGTTGCTCACATGCAGTGACTTCATTGCCTGACTTACAGTGAGCTGGTGTAGGGCCAACTGGTCCCACTGTAAAAATCAACGGGACCTTTCTTAGCTGCCTGAGACATCTTTTCCACCCTTCTCTGCCTCCTCGCATCGCCCTTTCCCTCGCCAGTAGTGGGACGTCTGCTCCACCACAGGACAACTTTCCCCAAGCTGCTCTCTTCCTCCTCCTCCTCCTCCTTTCCACCCCCTCGATCCCGCTGCAGCCTCCACGTGTGAAACAAGCCGGGCTGTGTGTGCTGCTCCCAGGCAGCTTCCCAGCAGCAGCAACAAAAGCCGTGTTCATAGCGGGGCTGGACCACATACGGAGCCAGCGAGCGCCGGCTGCCGAGCAGCCCAGAGCAGCCGGGGCTGTTTAAAGAGTGAAAGAGAAGAGACACAGCAAAGAGAGGGAGCTGTTATAGGCTTAAAAAAACCGCCCTAAGAAACCCTTGAGCCCAGTGCAACAACGGAAACCTTACAGTTTACTTTTAAGAACTCAGTGCTTCCTTGTGAGAGGGCAGAACAGCTCAGCCTGTGTGCGCGGGGCAGGTCTGCGGGCTCTGCCTGTGTGCACAAGGGCGGGTGTGTGAGCGCTGCCTCCCCTCCCTCTCAATGGGCTCACAGTATAAATCTAAAGAAGCTTTTTGTTGGGCTGATGAATAGGCAGGGGTTTTGTCGTGCTCCCCGCGCAGCCTTTTTTGGGACGCTAAGATTATATATATATATATATAATATTTTTTTTTAATTCCCTGTGCTTTTCGTTGGGTTTTCCCTTTTTAAGGGAAATTTCCATTTCTCTCTTGCATGATGTTCACCCTCCCTGATGCTGCTTCATACAGAGCAGAAGGGGGAGGGAAGGGTGAGGAATACCAAATTCATCTGGCTTGGGTACCCCAAGAGCCTCCATGTGCTTTAGCTGTTGAAATGTCCCAAGGTGCTAAGTAGCAGCCTATGGACCGCCTTGCTCCAATTTCCTTCCCCTGCTTTGCAAGCTCAACCACTGTGCAATCGGCTTCAGTGATCTAATGCTCCTGGTATCTTCAACTCATTGATGGAGGCAGCTGGAACCATGTCATGGCCCCTGTGACCAAGTGAGGACAAGGGAGATGATGCAAGTTGAGCAACAAAGTCCAGAAGCCACCAGGCTCCTGCTGCATAAGCTCCATGGAAATAGCCTGGGAGCCAGCTTTGCCTGTGGGTTTCTGCCTTTGCTTGAGGCTGGCTGAGGAGGAAACCTGGCTGTGCTTAGGAGCTGGAGGGGAGGACAGAGCAGAGGCCACAATAAGGACTCTGCTGAGAGAAGGGAGCAAGAGATGAAAGCAGGCATGTGGGGGACCCTCTGACAAGTATGGTCATGTGGGTGTTCACAACTGTCATTGCTCGTCATCAACCAAGGCATGGCAGCTCATGGCTTTTCTACACAGCCCAGTGCAACCCGAGTTGGCTGAAGCAGGGGGAGCTTTGGCAGAACTAACTCAGGTGAAGAGTCCTACCCTGCTGCTCAGTTCCCCCGAGGTTGTCACTGTGTCCTGAGGGTGTGGAGGCTTAGGATGGAAATAAGCATTGATTGATGTGAAGAACTTGGGTGATGAGATGTCCCAGGAAAGGCAGGTCTGTGTGGGTTAACCTGGCAAATGTACTTGCTATGACAGTGAGGCACTGGATGAATCTTGAATACGAGGAAAGTCACTTGCTTCAACAGAGGCCGTATCAGGCAACACAAGACAAAAGGGCATCTGCAAGAGAAACCACGTCTTATCATAGGGATGAAGTGATCAGGCAGGAAATGTCTTCTTGGCAGGGTAGCGCTCGTGGGTTAGGCCTGAGAGGAGTAAAGCTGTCTATTAAGCCATGCCCAATAAACCTAGCTTACATTAGCGGGAGAATATGGAATGTAAATACTCATGCTTCGAGGCATAAGGTAACCACTAAATGCCTAGTGTTAAAAGAAACTTCCTCCTCAGCAATTTATTCCCTATTTTTTGATGATGAGAACTTTGCTCTGAAGCTGGTGATAGAGCTCTTGTCCAAGACAGGATCCTGGCCTGAACATAGCATTGCTTTCATCTGGTCTGGCAGTTTCCATGTGCCTTTGGCTTCTCCAGTGCCCTTGGTTAGCACTGGGTGGAGGACTTGGGCACTGTTTTATCAGCAGTGTAGAAACCCCCCAAAAGGACAGAAGGAATTGTCTGTGAAGTCTGCAGGAGATACAGATTTGGCTTAATAGGTGAAAAATGTAAATAGGAATAATTTGACAGGGTTGAAATATAAAACCATAGGGAAAACCAACAAGAAATAACCAATGAACATCTGACTGAGGTCAGATCGCAGACTGGAGGGAAAAGGTGTGTAAAGGGAATGCAGAGGCCAGCGGCTGATAAGCAGGTGAAAATGACGGTGCTGATCCCTTCCAGCTGGAGCTCCCATCCGTCATTCACACCTCCAGCCGCTGTGCTGGTGATTGAATAACCTGTAATCCACAGCAAAACCCTGCTGCTCCTGCTGGGATCCTGAGCAGGGTCAGGGATAAACACTCTCCACAACCCTGGAAATCCCCAGGCACCGCAGGCTTTGTACAGGGCAGGGGCATATCCAGCAGCTTTGCTGGCACACATCTCTTGACTTCAGCAGATTACTCTTGCTTAGCGGTCCTGTGGCGCAGCAGCTGTAGATCTAAGTGTAATTAACATTACATCATCTGCACCACAGCTTCAAGGTTGAAATAACCACGTAGTTCACATATTGGAAATTACAGGATGGCTTTCACATAAATGATGAACTGTCACTGTTCCTTACCCCAGAAAAATAGTTTGTGGTGTTTGGTGTATAAATAATACCCTGTACCTCTATAGCGCTCAGCTTCAAAGTCATTCTTCAGTGCTGTACCATAACGAATACCCTCCCATTCTGTAATAACCGGTCTGCAGATGATGTCTTCTCCTCTGATGTAAATTACACCATGCAGCTACAGCCACTGCTGCTGTTGCATTCAGTCTGGTTTGTAAATAATACTCT